AACAATTTTTCCCTTTATAAATTATAGAAAGTTTTTATAATGTTTAATGATATCTTATTTTTTCAAGCAGCTCACTAATCACTTAAGCCTACAATTATTTATCAATTCTCATTTTTATGAAACCTTTTACTGGGTATTGAAGTAAATCAGCTCGATAACTTTAAGTTAAATTTATATTATATATATTAAAATTGGTCACATCCTATCTAGACCCAATGATACACTTCAACACTACATATATTTCATTGTATTCAAAATTAATGAGAATTATAAATCATAACCTTAACCGGAATAACTTCTTTAGTTTAAATTTATAAAAATAAAACAAAGACAATCATATACGCTAATATCTATTGCCCGACCAAACAACAAGAGGTGGCTAAATAATTTACTAATCAGTAAAGTCCGATTATAATGAATACTGTAGCTAGCGACTATTGCTCAATCAAAAGTGGTGCTACTAAAGAGTAGAACTATTATAAACTATTGTAGCCAGTAACATTTACCTTATCCTCCAAAGGGTATATGTTTCCATTCAGGCTTCCGAGCTCGTAGTGGTGACGTTGGGTATATCTCTTTATATAGTATAATTACTATTCAAAAGATTTAACCAAAAATTGACGGTAGGACCTGCACTTCCTTATAATTTTATGTCCATTTTATGTATATAATACCGCGAATACAACCCTGTTGCCATATTTGTACCGCATTAAAGCATAAAATGTGTTTCAAAAGAAAAAAAATTATTGAAAAATAAAAATAAATGAATAAAAAATTCAGGAAAATGTGGGTATGCAAAGTTTTAACTCAGCACAGATCAAAGGGCAAACCATAAAATCCGCATGAGCAACTCACGACACTTAACAAGCCGCACTTTAAGTGCATGAAAAATTGTATTTAGTCACAAAAAAAAACCGCATAACGATAGTTTTTGTACTTAAATTAAGTTTTAGATAGAAAAAGAAAAATGTGCCTAACTTTACCCGAACTGAAATATGTACTTACCTAAACATTATTACATTACTTTATTGCCATAAGAGTTATATGTAACTATCAATCAATCTGCCAGACACTCATCGTTATACATATGAAACAGTTCCCTTTCTGAGTATTTGGATCTAGCAGATAAATATTAACTAAAAAATATTTGAACCAACTGAACAGTAAACTTACAACTTATAAAAATTTTATGTAGATACATTTCGAAGAACCCCTTTTTTTTTGAAGTATATGTAACTAAGTAATCGATATGTATATCAACAACTAAAATTAACTGGACAACTGCACAAGCTAGAGAGTGTGGATTATATCGAACATTAGTACATAATAGGTATATGCATATTAATGGATGTGTGCTGTCGGTAATTATATTAAAGCACTTTAATCTGGTATCGGTATGAATCTATCAGTTTTATAAACTTTTTGCAACTAATTTTAACCACCTATATCGAACTACATCAAGTTTTTTTAAAATACTTATGTACAATTCATAATTGTCAGATATATTATCCAATAAATTTATTAGTAATACTGATCTACTTTTACTCCACATATTGTTAATTAGATGTAAACAATATATTTCAATTATCAATGCTCCATGGTATGTCCGTTACAGCGACCTCTATCGTGACTTGGACTTTTCGACAGTTGCTGAAATAATCACGCTTCAGGCTGAAGCACATAAAAAAGACTTGAAGTTCACTGCAACACAGCAGACCACGTACGACGGCTTAAGAACACCAAACCTTCTGATTTAACTAATTAAATTACATATTAATCTTTGTACTGTAATATTACAGATAAGAAATTAATATCGCATACTTTATATCGGGGTCGTGAAAATTTTCCTTATTAGTTTTTATTTTTAACGGGGCGGAATTGAATATAATAATAAAAAAGAAATCGTACATTTAAGTAGTGTCTTTAAAGAGTTTATATGACCGGTTTTACTCTTCTTTTATTTACTTTCAGTTTAACGGGAATTCACTACGTCAAGCTTATGCACTTATATTAAACAAATGACCTACATAATATCCAAATAGACCTTGATAAATATAAATAAATAGGACTATATGGTACAGTAGTTTACGCAACGATTGCAAAACCTCCGACTCACACCATTAACACTACCGATCTGTAAAATACTTTCTTCCTTAACCGTATTATTTTTTGTGAAGATATCGGTACTGGTCCTTGAACGATACATTGAACATGTTACCAGTCCTTGTAAAAGACTTAAAATATTTTTTCACTTCGCAGTATATTTTGGGTTGAGATAAACTTGTTCACTATGATCTATGGAAAACATTATTGGCGTATACTTCAAATATATTTAGAAAATATTATTTATCAGTCAGTAAACTTCATTACTGTAACTCACTCACATCCACCTCGATGTTATTTCTTTGTAATTTTTTTTTCAGGGTTTTTCTTTATACTAGCGCCAAATGCCTACAAATGTTTATAGTTTTCTTATTGCATAATCTGTGAAGAATATCTTTACTAGCGTTTATCTTACAGATATTACCTATTTAATGCGTGACAGGAGTCCAGACAGTACTAAAACCTTTACCCTTCGCATAAGCTTAGCAGATTTCCTAAGTCTCTGCATAGTGATGCCACAGCACTGCCACTTCAAACTCTTCATATTATTGTAGTTGCGATCATCATTTCCTTTTTCGATTCTACACATAATTTGTCTGCTCGTTGCCCTTTCGAAGGTTGCAACACGTACAAGAAAATGCACTTCTCTATACGTACCGGTAAGAGCATAGCATGCCAGAATTATTTAAAAATCATCCGAATATGCACTACATAAAGGCGACAAAATGCGACATGGGCTCTTACGTGCGGAAGAACGTAAACGACAGCAACAACGACAACGACAACAACAAGACAGTTCCAAACGTTGGCACTACTGGAAAGAGAATTATTTACGGCTATGTTAATGTTAAAGTATCTAAAAATAAAATATTTGAAGCTGATTTCCTTTAATACACATTTCGGTGCATTACACTTAGGAGCATATAACACGGGGGTACGCACTGCAGCACATATTGAAGCGAGTTCCTAACAACTAATAGATATTTCACTGCTACATTTCACACACAAACACAAACACATATTTATGTGATATGTATATTTATAGTATCGGTAGTAACGGCTCTATGTGAGGTGGCGAGGGTGGCATTGATAAAGCAGGAAGAAGCTCATATGTGCGTTCGTTTGATTGCATTGCCTATCAGTTCAGTTGGTGTCAACTGCAATTTATGTGCGCATTTGTACCTTTCCAGTTGCTATTTAACATTGGTGTTGCATTTTATGAGATACTTTATACGTAATATATGAGCAAAAGATGCATATACACGTTCTTGCTTGAGCGTAACTAATTTTAAATACGCTGCTGCTGGTGCTGCTGCTGCTGCTGTGATCACCGTTTACCGCTTAGTCGAGTATCTCGAGAAAAAGCGTAATTTATGCTTGTCAAGTTAGCCGCAGCTTCATCGCACGTATTTTGTATTGCACCACTCAACCCAACCGAATATATAGTTGTCGAATAGACACTCTTCCAAGCCAGCAAATTCGGCTGCACACACTGACTAACCTAATGGCGACAAAATTTCTTGAAACATAATTTTTATTGATGGGATGCTGCATCTGCATATTTACGCATCGCACTTCCATGAGTTTCCCAATTTTTAAGCTCTCTCCCAAGATCACGAAAGAAGTATAAGTTTTCTTTAAATTAAATAAAAGCCATAAATGTGCATATGTTTCTCTACAAATTAAAAAATTTATTCTTTATTTTATGAGCAAATAAAAATCATTTTAAATAACGAAAATATAATCAAACGCATAAAATCCATTCGGAAACTAATTTATTTTAATGCCTATAACGCATTTTATAGATTCGACTTTATGATTATGGAAAATACTTAAGAAAATAAAGAGATAGTTAATTTATATTCATTAATGGTGTAAACTTGTGCCTTTACACACAATTTCGTAGTAAAATTATGCACTTCAGTGTAAAACGAACAATATTGTGCCCAGCATCCAAACAATTAATTTTTTAATTCCCATCTTTAACGCATCTTATGGTAGAATGGGTATTGAAGTAAATCAGCTCGATAACTCTAAGTTAAATTGATATTATTTATATTAAAAGAAGACATTCTATCGCAAAATTGAATAGAGTACTTATAGTGCATTGGATTCAAAATGAATGAGAATTATAAATCATAAATATAACTCAAATAGATTGTTTATTTCATATTCTAACATAAAAGCTAACTCCAACATAAACGCTTTCTGAATCGAATATCCGACGTCCAACTGAAGAACTCTTGCTGGTAACATCAGTTGATGACTCTCAGTAAGGTATGTTGATATTGAATATTGTGGCTTACGGATTTTGTTCAATTAAACGTTGTGCTACTAAAGAGCATTTGCTTAACTACAATTTCGAGATTTCTAAATATTGGAAAAGTTTTATTTAAAACCCCATTGGTTCATATAAACGTTTAAGATCATTTTCCTCAAGTTTGAAGATATTTGTTATAAGCAATTATAAAGCAATAGATGGGTTGGATTTGGTGCTGCGTATGGGACTACGTAGTTATTTGTATATCTATTCCCACTGTTATCTTTCATTAATTTACGAGGAATGTTGGAGAGCAACAACTTAGACTTTAATATAACCACCTTAGAAAGATTTTAGTTGATCATATGTAAACCAGAACTGTTAATGTTCCATTGTTATTTGTGTTTATTTAATAAATATAATGGTCTAATATCTTACGATTTATAACTTTATATACAATATATATAATTACTTTCAGATTTAATAATTGAAATAAAAAACTGATAAAAGAAAATAAAAATTTAAAAAGTTAAAGATAAGAGTGAATCTGAAAAAAAAAATCAAATTCCAATAAATTAAAAAATTATAATTAATAATAATAATATAATAATAATTATAATTAATCAATATCGTAGAAATGCATGATCTGATTCGATATGAAATTCATTTTGCAACACGGTAGCCGCTTCAAGCTGGAAATAATTTAACAGACTAAAAAGTGTTTAAAATTCTGCTTTAATTTTAAGAAATAAAAAATTTTTGATTTAAATTTAAAATAAAAACTTAAAATTCATTCATCACTCCTTCGTATTGTGAGGCATGTCAAGATTTTATTGACATAATGCATTTTTCCATCAAGTCGCAAGGCAGAAATTCTTCGCTACACTGAAAGAGTTTTGCTCGTTATTTGTCTGTGAGCAGAAGAATTCCGTTGGACATCTCAACATTATCAATATTTCCATCAAGAAGAAACTCATCAGCAAGGACGGGAAGTAGAGGTTCGAACTTCAATTCATCATTTAACTTACCGACGACTGCTTCAAATTTTGACAGCTGCAATCAGTATTCGCTTACGCCTTTTAAATGTTCTTTTAATCAAAGTCGTCCTCAGTCAACAGTTGCCGAATTTAAATTTCTGGGGAATTTTCGAAGATGCACCACCACAAAATGTTGCACACACATTGTCTGCTGCTGTGTGCAGTGGCATTTTTAGCCGAGTTCATTGACGGCGGATATACAATGAAAGGTGGGTGAGTCGTTGTAACATTAAAACTAAAAATATTGAAAGAATAAAAATTTTAATTATATTAAAAAAATTTTATTATATTCTAATATACATATATGCTCAAAATATGCAATTTGAAACCATTACACCTTTAGGTTATTGTTTTCATTTACTTATTTAAATTGTAAAAAAACAACATCTATTAGGGAACCTCTCTCCGAAAATTTACTAAAAGCCCCGTCCCAAAAATGCCGCATGATTACCCTTACTAAGCAGCCGTTTAACTTCATTTATCCCAGAACTCACAAAACATTCCGTTGAAATGAGGCTAGCGAACCTTACTTACCCCAAGACTTGGAACCCACATTCCATTCCGCTGAAGGCACACAATTTCCATGTATTTAAACAGTCTTCAGTCAACCAACGAGTGAAGCAACCTCCTTTTGACTAAAATGTAATGGATGGAGGCTATTGTTAAGCAAAACATTTAACAAAAGTGTGAACACACCTTTCAAGCCATCCAATTACATTTAACGTTTACTCGTTAATAATGCATAAGTTATTTACTCAAAGTGTGAGTACAACCTATTAAACATCTTCATTATACTCTGTTATTTTATATTGAACTATAAACCAAAAGAGTTCCCACAAATCCATTATTGGATAGCATAACTTCAACACCAAATGAAATCAATACAGAAGTAAAAAATAAATAAAATTGAACTAATATAACTAATATAACAGTTTTGTATGAAAGACAAGGCAATGCAATTTATTCACCAAGACCGAATCAAAATTTCTTAAGAAGAAGAAGCCACAACCCTTATTAAAATCAAAAATTAAAGCCATGCTCCCTACCTTAAATGACAGCCTTGCACGCTTGCATTGGAAGTTTTGAGCATGTATGGAATATGTGACAGCGTTTTAAGATAGTTTATGCTCACCACACGGTCATTGCATACGGTGAACCGCAACGGAAGGGAGTGCCAAGAACTCCATTTACAAAAACATACACTTGAAGTAGAAAAATTTTTCAAGAAAAGTACAAACTAGTTATGGTTATTGGTTTCTGTTTTAGTGCCTGTTGCAGTCACAAGCATTTATGTGTGTTCCCATAAGGGAACTGGGTTAGGCCGCACTAAAACACATCACACTAATTATATCTGGAGAGCCGAATTGACGAAGTGTTATCCACTGTGCATATTTATCATTTTAACCCTCTAATCCCATCGCTAAGTCACATGTTGCAAACGCTAATCAATGCCATTATCAATATTATTCAAAAAATCTAAAAAAATTTGGTTATTCAACAAAAAGTTTGTTTTTAGAAGGAAAAAGTCTTCCACACTCTTCATCAATTTGAAATGAGTTTTATTACCCATTCACACAGTATAAGTAAACATAATTATAATAGTAATTTTGCACTTCACTTAAATCCTGTTCACACAGCCAGTTCAAATCTTGATTTAATTTCTTATTATTGTGAAACAAATTAATGTTGCAATCCTACATAAAAATCCATGACTTTACAGTACTAATTTCTTTTATTTTGCTTAAATTAATGAGAAATACTCACAATAATCCGATAATGATTTTAAGTTGATTTTGAAATTAAATTGTTATTTTAATCCGATTTTCTAACGAAACAAAGTTCAACTAGTTAGGATAACTAACTAAATTAAATAAAAACATGATGATTACTTGTGTTATATGAACACCTAGCCACACCGATAATGGGGCCGGAACCTTTTTGTGGACTAGAACGTAGTACGCTAAAGGAGAACCAGAATAAAAAGTATTACTGGGATAATATACCAGGATTAACACAATTCAAATCACTTATTGGTACTTATAACAATAGGAGATACCGGGATTGTATGAACCTAACACATCTCCTAAGAATAATAATAATAATGCTAACACCTATCGAACTTCTTCAGCATTTTTAATTTAAATTTTTGATAAAAATAGATCAGATTCATCGAGTTAAGTGCATTAGTCTAAACATTGCATTAGACAATATAAAGAGGTTTTCGAACAGAAGTGAATCAACAACAAAAATTTATTTTTTTAAATTATTTTAATTAATTGAATTTTTGGCTGACCATACAGCTGTTTCGAGTATTGCCAAATACCCTTCATCAGTGGTCTTGGAAATAATTCTTGTATTTAATTATTCGTAAATAATTATTTTTGAGACTGCAAGTACCAGGAATCGAACTCGGGTCCTGCCAAATGTGAAGCTCAGAATCAGCGCACCTTAACCAACTGATCCAAAGCCGTACTTGACTTTTTTGTTCGCATATTTTTGCTGGAGTTTTGTTACTTTTGCTATGAAAGTTTTTTATTAACAATTTTACTTGCTGTATTTATATATTTATATATTAGACAATATAGATATAGTTGCTGTTTATATATTTTAGATAAAAGTAACTATATAATATTGTGATCACTATTTGATTGTTATTAGATGTACACAGTCCATGTCATCATGTCATTTCCATTTCTTTAAAATAAAAAAAGATAATTACGCATTTGAGGAGAAATTTTCTCCTATATCTATGAGGAGAATAGGAAGATTTTGTAGAGAACATATAAAAAATATTCTCAGAAGGGAGTTGATTACTTATAATTATGAGGCGACACAAAATGGAACATCAGTTGTGTCTTCAGAACGACTTAAATTTAGTCGTTCTCTAAATTTATTTAGAAAATAGTACTTGAGTAGTGTTCACAAAAATTAGCTTATAACTGTTAGAATTAAAATATTAGCAATTTCCTTAAAAGTCTAATTACTTATATTAATATTTAATATTTTGTGATACTACTATTTTTAACAACGTTGATGGTCGCAAAGATGGAATAAAACCCTATTCAGAGTATAATTTTTATTTTAATGGAGGCAAACTAATAGAGCGAAAAGATAAATCTGTTAAGGATCAAACGATTTCAAAAGATTGTATTTATTTATATTTCTTTTGATTTTAAATCTGAACTATTTGATGAGATAGCAGTTTTATTTTAATCTGAATAAGTTTATATATAAATTGATTTTCGAATTGATATATGGAGATTAGTCTAATGCATTATCTAATAATTTTAATGTGAATTCGAAGAGCCCGAAGTATCACACAACATAATTCTTGCTTTCTCTTGTTAGCTAGTCGGCTTGAGTGATCTAAACATGTCCTCCTTTTGCTGATTTTTCACAAAAATCAAATAAAATTACAAAGATTCACTGCGAACAATGAAGCCAGAAAAAATAAAAATAAATTTCTAATTTATTTTTTGCTCTTGTAATTTTTTACTTCTTATTAAGAAAGAATTAAGAACGTGAAGAATGGAATTGCTTATATTTCCCACTTTTTCACGTCTTCACGTAGCCGCGGGCTACGCTATTTAATGAAAGATCTCTGTAGTGATTAACGCATTTTTCACGCTTGACATTTGACTCGCAAGCGAACTCACAAGCGAACTCACAGTCTTTCTTTATCTGAGCAATGCAACTTCACGCGGCAAACTGGGATCGTTTGCAATATTTCGACTGCAACGCTAGAAAAAGAAAGAGATTTTCATAAATTTTTTATTTTTATAGCACTATTTTTAAATTTATTTATCACTCTTTAATTGTCAACAAATTTAAGTTTAATTAAATTTACTCAGCTTTTTATTTATAAATTTTATTGATGACGACACAAATTCTGCAAACGATGACTCATAACCAGTTGAAGTATGTAGCGCACATGTTTTCGTTCCACACTTCTGGTTACTCAGATTAATAGATTATTACTTATAGCTTATAAAAATGCAATCGAATCTTAAGATTACTTAATTTTACTCAAGTAATCAAGTTAAGGTGTGTTCTTTTGACATGAATTCTCCAATAGAACACGTGTCGCTTAAAAATTAACATGCAAAGCAAAAACAAAATTCGCAAAAATAAGCCCACCTTCGTGAAACTGCTTAACGAATAAGCCAGTCGCATTATAATGCTGCCAAAACTTAAAACTGATATATAAATATATATGATTATACGAGTATAAACGAATCTATTGACGATCTCCTATTGCCTAAATGCCTCACTAAATTTAAACAATTACAATTAATGGTTTTTTGTGTCATTCATTTTATATATTATCTACAGATATTTTTGTAATTAAATGAATTTATCAACTATAAATTTGTTTAAAATTTTTTTACTTGTTATATATCTAGTGATCTAGGCAGTGATGCCAAGTTATTCTTAAGCAACCAATAGTTGTTCTATTGGAGAATTCACGTCAAAAGAATAGATACCGAAAATGTCCTCATAAAATAAAAGTAGACTAGTATCTGAGAGAATTTCAATATTTATAACAGTACAGTATACTTGATGCTAAAAACATAATTTATATTTTTATATATATAAAATATATATTTATGTATACAGACCTATTCTGTGCACTTTATAAACTTGTCAAACATTGGCACTTGTCAAAATTGATTGAGTTAAGGTTTTGGTATTCTGTGACATAAATAAAAAGTTTTTATTCTTGTTAGTTGCCATAACTGAAATGCTGTTGACAACTATAAAAATATGCTCTTTTTAAGCATTTTTTATTATATGCATGCTTGACAAATATTCTTAACTAAAATATACGCTCTTTACAAGCATATTTTTTATTGTTATTTGAATGCATGAGAAATGCTTTTGACAACTTAAAATGTATGCTCTTTACAAGCATTTTTTACGAACAGTTACCAACAATTACGAACAGTTTTCTATACAAAACACTTTACACTATAGTGTGGTGAGAAGCACTAGGTACTTAAGCTTTGAAATTTGTAAAGATGAGTCCAGAATACCAAAAAGCTTTCTGCTATATAAAAATCAAAAATTTTATTAAAGAATTTGACAAATCTGTCAAGTGCACAGAATAGGTCCGATAATGTACATATATTTTAATGTAATATAGTAATTATGCTATTGAAAAGAAATGTGTGCCACGTTTAAGTTAGTTCAAAAGTGACGATTGAGCGCT